GGCAAGGTATCAAAACTCCCAGTTGTGCTGGAAAATATAGGAAATGATGGAGAAATCCTAAATCCTTTCTCCTGGGAGAGAAAAATCATGCCCTGCATTTGTGGGGTGAATGAAAGAAAGAAAGAAAGAAAAGAAAGAATGCAGAAAGAAAATGAAAGAATTGGGATTTTCTTAGAGGAAATCTTAAAGGGAAACAGAGGCAAGAAGAGTTAAATGTTGACCCAGAGCCTGGTGCAAAAATTAAAGGAACAGAGAAGAGACACAGAAGCAAAGCTGCAAACGAAAAATAGAGGCAACATCTTTAATTACCAACACTTGCAATAAAGGAGCAGGAAAATGTCTTAAGCTGTAGTATAAATTAGGTTTCCTTTAATTTATAAAGGAAAGTCAAGAGAAAGAAACAGTTTAAACTTAATTAATAGAAGAAATTGCAAAGGTAAACTACCCAGGGACATATTAAAGGATATTCATAATTCCCCAATAATCACATTTAGCAGCTCCATTTTTTTTTTCTCTAAGAATTGACCCTATAAAATTCATGATCCTAAGTTATGGACCCTGTGAGTTATGTAGGAGTGATTTTCTCACTTTAAAGACAATGAAGGAAAAATATGGCCAAAAAAATGGTATAAAAACAGCAGCTGCTGATGGAAAATAAAGTGCAAAGTTTGTTTATTGTAGAGAATGAAGGGAAACAACTAATGGGGGATTGGGACAACGCTCTCAGGGACAGGGGGGGATTGTTGGGGTGTCCTGGGCAGGGCCAGGAGTTGAACTGGATGATCCTTGTGGGTCCTTCCAGCTCGGATATTCCATGATTTTAGGAGCTCAGGAGCATTTTCAGTGTCAGTCTCCACCCCAGACACCAACATCGAGGCTCTCACCTTTTCTGCTCCTCCTGCTTTTCCATCATTCCCACACTGCCTGTCCTTGAGCACCTCGTGGCTACTGAGACCCAGCAAATCCCTTCACAATGGGATTATCCAAGGAACCTTCAAGGATTTCCAGGGAAATTTCACATCTGTTTGACAACAGATGCATCT